CCAGGATAACAGATGCATGGAAACAACATGATCTGCAAGTTACCATCCACCTCTGTACTATTCGTACTACTCTGTTTTCTATAGGTACTCACTTACTTTTAAGCAACGACTCTAATTCTAGATTCTTAAGATAGAATACCCTGTCCACATCTACCTTGCCAAGGCCAAGTCACCGCCAAGGCCAAGTCACAAGAATAACCAGATCCCATTGCATCTCAGAGCTCTGCAGTCTCTCCTTGTTTAGATAACATGTTTCCTTTCATTCTTCCTGCCAAATTGAACAATTACACATTTTTCTAGACTATATTGCAATTGCCAGACTTTTGCCCTCCCGCTTAACCTACCGATATTCCTTTGTAGCTTTCTTAAGTCCTGATCGTAGTTTATTTTCTTACCTATTTTTGTGTCATCACCACATTTGGCAACTACATCATCTGTTCCTTCATCCAAGTTGTTGAAATAAATTATAAACAGTGAGGTTCCTTCACTGGTCCCTGTGGCACACCACTTGTTACATATCAATTTCATTTAGAAGACTCATTTATGTCTATTGTGCTTCCTGTTAGCCAGCTAATCCTCTATTTATGCCAATATACTTGATACCCCTACATTGTGAGCTTTTCTTATCTGCAATAACATTTAATATGGCACCTTTATGAAATGCTTTATGGAAATCTACGTACAATGAATCCACTAGTTCCCTTTTATCCACAAAACATTACATCCTTTAAACTTCGATCCATTGGTTAAACATGATTTCTGTTTCACAAAACCGTGTTGACTGTCTGATTACCTTGTAATTTTCTGAGTACCCTGCTATAACCTTTTTTAATAATGGCTTCTAACATTTTCCTTATGACAAATATTAAGCTAACTGACCTGTAGTTTATAGCTTTCTGTTTTCCTTTTCTGAATAAAAGAATTTTTTGCTAACTTCCAATTTAATGGGACCCTCCCCAAATCAAAGAAATTTTGGAAAATCAAAAGCAATGCCTCAACTATCTCACTAGCTACTTCTTTTAAGACCTTAGGATGAAGTCTATCGAGTCCTGGGCACTTGTCAGTTCGCAGTTCCAACAATTTACTCTATCAGTTCCCCAGTTAACTGTAATTCATTTGCGTTCCTACCTCCCTTCCAAGTTAATGATTTATTGCTGCTTTTGGCATGTTAGTTGTATCCTCAATAGTCAAGACTCACCCAAAGTACCTGTCTATTTCATTTGTCATCTCTTTATTTTCCATTGTTAATTCTTCAGGATCACTTTCTTAATTTTTATTTTTAAAATATCTATAGGAATTCTTGCATTCTGTGTTTATATTTCTGGCTAGCTTTCTCTTGTACTGTAATTTTTCTCTAATTGTTTAATCGTTCTTTAGTCTTTTTGATATTCTGTTCATTCTTCGGATTTGCCACCTGACTTTACACAAATAGTGTGTTTGGAGCAGGTGGGATTGAACCCGAATCTCCACAGGTAGAGACATTACTGCTGCACCACACGACCCCTCTATATGCTTGTTCTTTATGTTCAACACTATTTTTGACCTTTCTAGTTAACCATGGACGGTGCATCTGTGCCTTGGAAGTTTTCTTATTTATTGGACTAATTTATTCAGTGTTTTTTGAAGTATTTCCTTAACTGCCTGCTATTACATTTCTATTGACCCATCTATTAATCAGATTTTCCAATTCTGTTTAGTGAGCTCTGATTTCATGTCCTAATAATTGCCTTTATTAAGTTTTATGCTTTGGTCTTGGAGGGGAGAGAGCACATTTGTAGTTTCCTCTACATTGGGATGATGACTCTCAGACTGAGCTACCGCTTTGCAGAACACCTACGTTCTGTCTGGAAAAATGACCCCCAGTTTCCAGTTGCCTGTCACTTTGACACACGACTGTGTTCCCATGCCAGCATTGCTGTCGTAGGCCTGCTGAGGTGCTCCAGTGAAGCTCAGCGCAAGCTGGAAGAATGACACCTCATCCCACAGTCAGGACCTTGTAGCCTTCAGGACTCAACATCGAGTTTAAAAATTTTAGAGCGTAAATGTCACCCTCTGTGTCTATTAACCACCCCCACACTCCAACTCCTGTCATGAGAGAGGTTGCTTTCATTTAAGACAAACTATTTTCAATTACGCATAGCCCCATTATCACCTATCTTGCTTCTGTATTTCCCAGGCTTGCTATAAACAGTCCCTTTGTCTGCTACCTGTCTGTCCACCTAAATACCCAACTCCAAATATTAACTGTTTTCTCTCCACAGATACTGTGAGATTTGCTGAGTTTCTCTAGCAATTTCTGTTTTTGTGTGGCTCTACAACATGCTGTTCAAAACAACTATTCTGAAAATACCTATGAACTCCTTATCTAAGCTAGCATTGCCTATTTGACTTCTCCAGTTTATACGTAGATTAAAGTCTCCTATGATTATCAATATGGCCATCTGATACGCTCCCATTATTCTTTCCTTTATGCTCCACCCCTGTGGTTACTGTTAGGGGCCTGTATGCCACTCCCACAAGTGATGATGACTTACCTTTATCGTTTCTCATCTCCTACCTAAAGTGTTTCCACGCTTTACTTTCCTGAACTTTGGTTATCCTTCCATTGTACTAATGCCATCATTATCTAATAGAATCACCCCTCCACCTTTTCAGGAGGTAATGTGTTAAGTGAACTTTAGGAATCCAGATCAAGGACCTGTGGAATTGTTTGGGCTGCTAGGGCAAATGATGTTTTCTGTTACCTGATGTTCAGGCTGTTCCTTTAGAGGACAAACATTTGACTAAAAAGCTGAAGGGAAAAGAGATTAACACTTGGATGATATGGAGAGAAAGCTTGTGATGGGAGACGGTCTCTAAGCCGTTTGTGTATACCTTTTGTTTGAGAGTTGACTTTTAAGGATTCCATGTGCTGTGCGTATACTATGTTGTAATTCTGATTGGCAGTCAGTCTATTATAGGTTTATTAGCTGTACACACCAAACAGTCAGTTGGTTTACTAAAAAGTCTGCATCATAATTTGTGTTTAACAATTGTAAGTACTAACCCATGGGATGGGAAATGCAGGGTTACAGGGATAGAGTGGGGGGATGAGTTTGGGTGGGATGTTCTTCAGAAGGTTGGTGTGGATTCGATGGGTTGAATGGCCTGCTTTCTTGCTGTAGGGATTCTGAGTTATCCCTGATAAGTGATTATTAGACAATGATCATAGAATGGTGAACAACATTGGAAAACTATTTTGATAAGCCTATCATACTTGATAGTAAAGTTTGTCTACCAGTGAAACGCATGGTCAACAGTGTTAAATTGTGCTGAAGTATATGAGACAGTGCTCAATGTCTTCACTTGTTACAGCATCAGTAAAATACAGCTTGCTCTAAGCAGATGTATATTAAGAGACTAGTTTAACTCACTAGAGAAAGGCAAGTGATCAGATTGTGTGCTATATCGATAGCAGGCAAGGGTGGATCAAAGGGATTCTGTCAAGATATCTACAAAATTCCTGTGTTTAAATACGGACACTACACAATGAACTGAAATTAAAATGTTTACAGTTTTCAGGACTGTGTTTTGTCAATTGGGAGCATGTGATGCAGAAAAGCAAGCTATTAAGATTTGCTTAGCAATTGGGAACGAAGGTCAACACAGACTTGTAACATTAGGATTAATGGTTGAAGAGCTAAAAGATTCCCAAATGAGAGAGGGCACACTAGAAGATGAAATTGGAGTCAGATTAAAGTTCCATATTCATTGACTGGAATTTATCTCATTCAGACTGAAACCTACAGAATTCATCAGCCTCTGAGCTAATGCAGAGAAAAGCGCTTATGATTTTTCAGCTGAGGAGCTAGCATACATAACTGTGTTAGTGATTGCTTCCACCCACTTGACGATTGAGAGACATCTAATGTTTAAGAGTTCAACTAGCATGGAGGCAAGTATGAAGTGATTCTTGCAGGTTGAAGCAGCTTTCACATCCTAAGTACAAACTCCACAGCTGACACAATCATGAGAACACCCAAACAGAGCAAGAGACATGCAAGTGTGACCATCTTCATGCACAAAGGTAATGTCCAGATTTCAACCAATTTTGCAAGGTGTGTGATAGTAAAACCAGTGGTAGAAATTGTATACAAGAGGAAAGGCTACAAAGAGTAGTGCACCAGCCCAAATAGATCACATGCAAGGAATATCTTCAAGCTGCAGCGAAGACCAACCATTCCGCTAATGACGTATACATGAAGTGATTGACGAACCGAATCTGACTATATACATGGAGAGGCAAAGACCAATGAACACTTTTCACACTCTCCATTTTATGGGAAACATCAACGTCAGTTCAAAGTTTTTGCAGAAATTCGAAAGATCTATCTTAAGAAAACTAATGACCACACATTATTGGCTAATAATGACACGGTGCCAAGTGCCACGGTCTTATCCTCCTGAATTCTTAAAAAATTCTAAAGTCACCATCATGAGATCTGGATGTATCAGCAAATTAATTGTGTTATAGGGATTCAGGCTGGATTTCTATTGTAAATAGTTGAGCTTGCTTTTTGGAAGGAAGAGAATGTTATATGTTTGTACCTTGTGTTTAAAAAGTTCACTTTTAAGGACTTGTGCTATGTGTATACTTTGCCTGGAAGTTAGTCTGCTTTGCACCTTCAAGCTCTAAGCACTACAGAAATCAGTTGGCTTGCTGTACTGTCTGCTATGTAATGTGTTGTATTGTTTAAAATAAATGTATCTACTGAGTTAATCAATCCCTGATGAGCATTTGATTTTTAAACCATTATCATTAATATGACAGACTGGTATGATATGGAAAGAAAGACCACAATGGTAGCAGTGACATGGGGAGAAGGAACATTTGCAAAACAGGTGCATATACTCCTGGTCGTGAGGTCAAGTTGGGAAATTTTACTGTTTTTGGAAAGAATGATTAGAATAGGTAGCTTTCAGGCACAGTGCTGTAAATCTTATTTTTTCTGCCCTTGCAGGACTGGATCAATGACATTAAATCAAACTCTGCTGCCTCCTATGGGAATCATATCAAATCAAGCTGTGCCTTCATCGCCTTCAATGCACACAGCCCAGGTAAGACCAAGAAACAGACTACAGCGATTTCAGTATGTGAAGCCCTCCCAATACAAACATATGAACATGCATGTCGGCTCTGCTATCTAATAAAATCATGGCTGATCTGATTGTTTCTGTCACCTCAAGTCTGATCACCTTTCACTCCCTTACCAAGAATCTATCTACTTCTGCCTTAAAAATACTGTTTTTTTGAGTTAACGGTCCAAAAACTCATGAGTCTGAGAGAAAATAAATTCTCATCTCTGACTTAAGTATATGTCCCTTTGAATTTTTAAACAGTTGCTCCTTGTTTTGGATTCTTCTGTTTCAATCAACTCTCGCCACCTTATACCCCAGAAGTTCACTAGTTCTCTTTAACTAGTTTCGCTTTCATGCCCTTTATAATTGCCTTTATTTAAGTTTAAAAATACTAGTCTTAGACTGCTCAGAGATAGCAACAGCTGCAGATGCTGGAGTCCGAGACGACACAATGTGGAGGTACGTTCTGGAACTACAATCAACCTTACCTCAGCTCGGAGCTTCTTTCTCCCAGACCTGCAAAGGGCCTCTTCTGCTTTTCATTCTGCACAGGATCCACACCCTCAACCAACTCTTTTTCTCCACCCTATCTGACATCAAAAACTGTAAGTACACTAAACTTGCTTGTGCTTACCACCAAACACAGACCTCTTCCACCACCCCAGAACCCAACCCAACTGGGACCTCCCTCTCAATGTGCCCGGTGCCATTAACCATGCGGTTACCTGGGCCTGTCCTGCTGATGTCCCCAACCTCGTCACTTTTGCTGATGCTGTTCACGTCACTCCCACCGCCACTCCTGACGCCGATGATGCCACTGACACAGTCTCCACCCCTGTTGCCAGCTCCAACTCTCGACCCAACCCCAGCCCCAAGCCCGCCTGGGTCTTCACCATTCCCCCAGACCTCCCCCCTCACGGAGAATGAACGGTCAGTCCTCAGCAAAGGAGTCACCTTCATTTCCCTTCACCCACACGTCAATGAATCCATTCATGTTGAACTCTTCTTCCGCCGCCTCTGTGCCTGTTTATTTGACCCACCCTCTGCAGACCCCTTATCACGCCTCCAATAAACCCCATCCTCCTGGACACCATCCCATGGCCTCCTACCCTCCCTCGACTTCTTCGTTTCCAGTTGCCGTCGCGACATCGAACACCTCAATCTCTCTATCCCTCACATTCACTCCAATCTCTTTCCCCCACAGAACGTGCAGCCCTCTGCTCCCTCCGCTCCAACCCTAACCTCACTATCAAACCCGCAGATTGGGGGGGGTGGGGGCTGCGGGCGTGGTAGTGGTATGGCACACTGACCTTTACATCGCCAAGGCCAGGCGCCAATTCCCAACTCTCTGACACCTCCTACAGCCCCTTCGATAAGGACTGGACCCCTGACCACCAAACCATTGTCTCTCAGATCATTCATAACCTCATTACTCGGGTGACCTCTCACCCACTGCTTCCAGCCTCACTGTGTTCCCCAACCCCGCAGCGCCCATTTCTATCTCCTTCCCAAAATCCACAAACCTGACTGCCCCAGCTGACCCATTGTCTCTGCCTACTCCTGCCCCACTGAACTTATCTCCACTTACCTTGATTCTGTCTTTTTCCCCCCCGGTCCAGGAACTCCCCACCTACGCCTGGGGCACCATCCACCCCCTCCACCTCCTCCAAGACTTCCAATTCCCTGGACCCAACACCTCATCTTCACTATGGACATCCAATCCCTCTACACTTGTATCCCCCATGCAGATGGCCTAAAAGCCCTCCGCTTCTTCTCCTGCAGGCCCAACCAGTTATTCTCCACTGACCCCCTCATCTGCTTAACAGAACTTGTCCTTACCCTGAACAACTTCTCCTTTACTCCCACTTCCAATAGACTAAGAGGGTGGCCACAGGTCCAAGCTGTGCCTGCCTCTTCGTTGGATACGTAGAACAGTCCCTTTTCCGCTGTTACACTGGCGCCATTCTCCACCTCTTCCTCCGCTACATTGATGACTATTGGCGCTGCCTCAACTTTACTAACACCTTTCACCCCAACCTCAAATTCACCTGGATCATCTCCGATACCTCCCTCCCTTTCCTGGATCTCTACATCTCCATCTCTGGTAACCACCTCAACACCGATATCTATTTCAAGCCCTCCCCGACTCCCGTAGCTACCTGGACTACACCTCCTTCCACCCGGCCTCCTGCAAGAATGCGATCCCATACTCCCAATTCCTCTGCCTTGCCGCATCCGCTCCCAAGATGGAGTGTTCTGCTTCAGGATTAACCAAACCTGCCCCCACCCCCCAACCCACCACCGTGATCAGAATTGCCCTCAACTGCATCTCTTGCATTTCCCTGGTCCTGTCATATCACCCACCAACCTCCGCATCCAGCATATCATTCTCTGCCACCTAGAGTCCAACCCCATTACCAAAGAGATATTTCCCTCCCCACTCCTATCTGCCTTTCGTAGGGACCCTTCACTCCGTGACTCCCTCGTCTGCTTCACACTCCCCACTAACCCCACCACACCCGGCACCTTTCCCTGCAACCGCAGGAAGTGCTACACCTGCCCCCACACCTCCATTCAAGGTCCAATGCAAACCTTTCATATCTAGCAGAAGTTCACCTGTACATCCTCCAACCTGGTCTACTGTATCTGTTGCTCCCGATGTGGCCTCCTCTACATCGGTGAGACCAAGCGTAGACTTGGGGAGCATTTCGTAGAGCATCTGTGCTCTGTACGCACCAAATGACAACACCTTCCAGTCACCAGCCATTTGAACTCTCCTCCCACTTCCTGGGTGACATGTCCATCCTGGGCCGCCTCCAGTGCCTCAATGATATCACCCCAAACTGGAGGAGCAACACCTCATATTCCGCCTCGGGAGCCTACAGCCCGGAGGCCTAAACGTGGAATTCACCAGTTTTAAAATCTCCTCACCCCGTGTCTAAGCCTCCGTCTCATCCCCACCTTCTTGACCAGACACCACCTGTCCATCATCTTCCCCACCTATCCCCCCCCCCCCTCCCACTGACCAATCCCCCCCCCCCCCTACCAGCATATCACCACCTCCCCTTCCTTTCCCCAGCCTCACCCCTCCTCCTTCCTGCCTCCAGACCTGACACAACCTGTCCATCTTCTCTCCCACCTATCTGCTCCACTCTTCCCACCGACCAATTCCCACCACACCCTACTACGTTCACCTTCACTATCTCATTTATCTTCTCCAACCCCCCCCCCGCTCCTCCTCTCTATTTATTTCCCAGCTCCCTTCCCCCTCCCCATTTCTGAAGAAGGATCCTGACCCGAAATGTCAACTTTCCTGCTCCTCTGATGCTGCCTGGCCTGCTGTGTTCCTCCGGCTCCATACTGTGTTGTCTTTAGTCTTAGACTAACTCTTCTGTCCTTCAAACTGAATGTGAATTTCAAATGCATTCTGATTGCTGCTTCCTAGTAGTAATTTCAGTGTGAGGTAATTTATTAATCCTGTCTTGTTTCACAATACCAGATCTAGCACAGTCCGCAAAAAGTTTCTTTATAACAGCACAATCTCAAAAATATTCTATGAACTCATCCAGGCCATCATTTCCCAATTTGATATTTCTACCCTGTATCTAACTTAAGATCCCCCACAGTTATTGGCATACCCCTCTAATAAGCACCTATTTTTTTCTTCCTTTTATGCTGTATCCTACTATGTGGTTACTGTTAGGGACCTGTACATCACTTCCACACATGAAGACTTACCTTTGTAATTTTTCACCTGTATCTAAACCATTGCCATATCCAGTTGTCCTGAAAGTAGCACTACAGAGAGGATGACCTAACTCCACCATTAATTTGCAGGGCCACCTCTCCACCTGTTCCTTGTTACCTGCCTTTTTTAAGTGTTATATACTCTTCAGCATTTAAGTCTCAATCTTGCCCCTCCAGTATTGAGTTTAAAACCCTCTTTATGTAGCTTGCTAGAACAGTGGACCCAGCACTGTTTAGGTGTAGACTATCCCAGCCGTAAAGCCCCTACTTTCCTAAGTACTAGTAGCAGTGCCCAACGAGCTTGAAATTGCATCCTCCTTACCAGTCTTTGAGCCATACTTTAGTTTCACCACTGCTATTTGCACATAGCTGAGGTTGTAATCCAGTGATTATTACCTTTGCAGTTCTGCTTCATTTTGTGCCTAGCTGCTCATACTAACTCCACAGAAATCTTTTTTTCCTTGATCTACTTACGTTGATGGTACCTCCATGGACCATGATGATTGGACCCTTCCCCACCCAGTGTAAGTTTGTCTTCAGTTCTGAACAGATGTCCCAAACCATGGTACTTTCAGGTTTAGCCTTCTGGACTCTTAAACTTTGCTGTATAGAATAGTGCCAACCCCTCTCACTATACTGTTTTCTGATACTACTGATCCTTTTTTCTCCCTCCACTTGAATGGCTTCCTGTACAATGGTGCATGGTCAGTTAGCTCATCTACACTATAGTTGTCACTCTCTTCAAGCAAGCTGAAACAAAACTCACTTTTTTGGACAGTTGCAAATCTGAAGCTATGTGCTCCTGCCCTAAAGGTCCCTATGGCTGCCTTACTGGCAGTCACACCCTCCATTCCCTGACCAGTGACCAAATTAGAAGATGCTGTTCTAAGGGAAATGACTGAATAAAATGTCCAGGTAGCTTTTTCTCTCTCCCTAATGTCACACTACTGGTAATTCAATCCTAGCTCGAACTCGAGCTGAAGCTGTTGGGGCTACAAACAATATTGCATACCTGTTTGCCCTGATTATCCTTGTGTCCAGGAATTCCTATATTCAACAACTACTGCACATCACCTGCCCAATTGGCCGAAGGGACCAAGCACTCTGAACAAGATACCCTGTGTGCCTTATCTAAGATGGAGTCAGCTGATGTCTGCAGGGCTTGAAGTTGGCTGCAGCACAACATCACATGCTCCCTACTCATAATCTGTCATCTTAAAATTAGAGTCAGGCCATGAAATCAAGGGGTGGTGGTGGTGAAAGTGGTGTTTACAAGACCTGTGGATAACCACATGAATATGCAAGAAATGAAGGAACATGGACCAAGGGCGGACAGAAGGGATTAGTTTAATTTGGCATCATGTTTGGCACAACATCGTGGGCCGAAGGGCCCATTACTGTGCTGCATTGTTCTGTGTATCAACATTTCAGCAGTTGCTTGGGAAGAGTGCACCTAACTGCAGTTAGTAATCAGGGACCTTCACCTCCACTACCCAGTGTGGCAAAAGTCAACAATCAACTGAAATGGCAATGATTCATTCTCTGCTCAAAATAGAGGGCAGGACTAAAATGGGCTTGAGCACTAGAGAGTGAAATAATGAAAATAGAAAGTTTGATTCATGAGTTATAGTAATCTGAGTTGCTGTTGAGCTCCCATCAACAGCTCAATAACTTTTTTAAAGTCTTACAATGAGATACGGAGACTCAGTATTATGCACTGCCTTTCTGAACAGGCTATATTCTAAAGTCATTGTGTTGTTTCATTCAGGAGGAGGGACTCTCGGAATTCTGCCACTGGAAACTGGAAATGGAGATAAACCGCGGGTGTCGGAGCTTCATTGTCATGCAGGTAAGTGCAGGAAATCCGCTAAGGGCCTTGCTATGAGAACCTGTACTCTTTACACCTCTGGTTATTAAAGTGCAGTTTGGTGAGTAGGAATAGAGGTGGAAAACCACATTTGCTCAGTGGGAACTGCTCCTCTGCTGCCAGTATGTGTGCTTGTCACTACTTTAGTGATGGGCCATTCTCTTTCTAATAACTTTCAGACATTAGCCTGATACTGAGCAATGTGTTTTGTGACTGCTGAATCTGGTTCTGTTGTGGGAACTTGTACTTTCCAGCATAAACAGCTGCACGTAATCTCTCGATGATTAACAGCTATAATCAGCAGCACCTTCTGAAATTTAATAGATGTTTCTAATTGACCCGTTCATATGTTATAACATATCTCGGGCAGGTGCAATTTTTTTTTTCTTTATTCGTTCATGGGATTGGGGCATCACTTTTAGGCAGGACTTATTGTCCATCCCTAATTGTCCAGAGAGCAGTTGAGAGTCAACCATATTGCTGTGGGTCTGGAGTCACATGTAGGCCAGACCAGGTAAGGATGGCAGTTTCCTTCCCTAAAGGACACTATGAACCAGATGGCTTTTTCTGACATTCAGCAACAGATTCATGGTTATCACTAGATTCTTAATTCCAGATATTTTTATTGACTTCAAATTCCACCATCTGCCGTGGTGGGATTCAAACCCAGAACGTTGTTTTGGTCTCTGGATTAACAGTCCAGTGATAATAGCAATAGGCCATTGCCTCGGATCTTCTGATTCCGAGGTAGGGGCACTTGCACTGTGCCACAGGAGACCTACAATTTTTAATGGAACCATTCAAACATATTCTGACGCTTGAACCTGTGCTTTAGAGTCCAGAGGTCGGGACATTAACACTTTTCTATGAACCATGTAGCACTTGCATGGGGCAACTCTGAATAATTTCAATCCTATGGACTTAACCACTTGACCATGACTGCCAGAAATACTTTGTAGATATTTTTAATCAAACTATTTGGATGTGCTATGACCTACCTCCAGGCCGAGTGGAATTTGAACCCAGACGTTCTGTTTACAAGGTAGCGGCTTTACCATTTCACCACAAGGCCACGGGGGATTTTTCTTCTTGCAACATACATTGAATGGTATTAGCATCACCCTAATAATTGCAGGATAGAACAATAATGGAGCTGTTAACCATTCCATACTGACCAATCTCTATCAATTAAATATTACAGCCTACCAGTTAGCTGAAGAAAACTGGTAATTGAGAGATGTAAAGTGTAGGCTTTGACTTTGATACGATGTGATACATGCTTTTAGATTGGAAAATTGCACTCAATCTTAAATAAAAAATGAGAGGGGAATCTAGGGAATAATAGCCTAGTTAATCTAATATCTGATGGGAAATTTAGTATAGGTTTGTAATGGATAGTCATGTTTGATGAATCTGAATGCTTTGAAATAATGAGTACAGCAGTGGACAGGGCATTGTGTATGAATATTATTCATGACATTTTTCATATTTCACAGTGTCATTGCCAATCTCAGCATTTATTGCCCATCCCTAATTGCTCTTGAGAAGGTGCTGGTGAGCCACTGCCTTGAGCAACAGTCCACATTGGGTAGGTACACCCACTGGGTTGTTAGGAGGTGGATGTTGGATCATGGCGTTGGGGGTCCTTAGTGCGGAGGTGGGGAAATGTGTGTATCTGGGGCTAGGAGTCTGGTTGAGTCAGTCTTGTGGGTTATTATTTTAGGGGAGGAGAGATGTTGGGGGGTGGAGGGGTGCTGTTGTTGAACGGGTTGTGGGGGATGGTAAATAGTGGTTAGGCATTGGAGATGGGCATGGTGGTGGAGGAAGAGGAAAGAGGTAAGTTAATTACATAGCTAGAGTTGGAGAAGGTTTTAATTCTTTTAACCCTTGGCTAACACTTCAGGTTAAGTGAACTGAAGCCATGCAGAGTCTGTGACTCTGATGCCAGGTAATTGCCCATCTGAAGTTTCAGCTTCCTGAGCAAATTCTGCAGAGTTGGCTGTGCTGGGATATCTGCATGGTCCTGAGGCTGAGCACCAGTCTATACTTAAGGCATGACTATTTTCCTATCAGATGATGTGGACTTAACCTTAGTGATGGTGACAAAGAAACCACCAGGTTGCTGTGAAAACCCATCTGGTTCAATAATATCTTTTAAGTAAGGAAATCTCCAGTCCTTGTTTGTTCTAGCCTGCATGTGATCCTAGACCTATAGCAATGTTGAAATGAAACAGGAAGCCACTCTGTTGTATTCAACCAAGTGCCTAGCCAGTGAAGCATTTATATCCTAAGAGAAAAAAGAACTATTGCATCTGCTCAATATAAGTTCTCATGCTACTGTGGTGGAATTTGAATCCATCTCTCTGGATCATCACTGCACTCCAAGCCTATGGATTGTCAATCCAGTAGCGTAACCGGTATGTTAGTGTACCTTACATGGTCTTGTTGAGATGTGCAATGTCAGTACAAACTGGTTCCTTTTTTCTCTTTACAGATCTGGTGACTGATTTTGATTTCTCCCCATTTGATGATGAATTGCTGGCAACATGTTCAGCTGATATGACGGTAAGTTACCATTCTTGGCAGGGCATTCTGCGCAGGAGATAGGAAAGTTCCATTAGGAGGAAATGGGCTGCTCCATGTGGACTGATTACTACTTGGGTGCTGGTATTGAGGAAAAGCTGGGACTGTATTTCAACCTTGCATCTGCTGTGTCCTGGGAGCTAAAAATATTCGGTGCATTGAATTAAAACTAGAACAAAATCTTTGTTTTTAAGGTCAAATGTTTCTGATTGTCAGGTAAAGCTGTGGCGACTACCTGACACTTTCCAGCAGGTGTCATCTGCACAGAACATCACTCTGGGACCAGAAGCTGTGAGGGTGGAATGTGTGTCGTTTCATCCTTCTGCAGATGGAGTTTTAGCAAGTGGAGCTGGAAATATAGCCAAAATATGGGACGTGTCACAACAGAAAGCCATGGCAGGTGAGATTTGAGGAAGATCTGATAGTGTGCAAGGTTTCTTTTCTTTAATAACCAAGTATTAATGCAAAATCAATACAAGTATGAATTAGCAGTCAAATTGCGATCAATATAAATCATAATTACATGTTAAATAGCAGCTGAAACATACATCTCTCTTACTTACTATGTTGTCCACTTAACATGAGTATCGCTGAGTCAGAGTTCCTCATTGTTTTATATTATAGAACTTCAACTCCTTTACTTCAAGGACTTTGCCATCTTCATTTGAGTGCAGCTCAATCAACTCATGTTCTATCAGCATAGTTCTTCAAATAATGTTACTTCTGCAGAAGATCTTCATCTCTATAGGAAGAATGTTGTGAAACTAGAAGGGATTCAGAAAAGATTTACAAGGATGTTACCGGGATTGGAGGGTTTGAGCTGTAGGGAGAGGCTGAATAGGCTGGGGCAATTTTCCCTGGAGTGTCGGAGGCTGAGGGGTGACCTTTAGAGGTTTATAAAATCACAAGGGACATTGATGGGGTAAATAGGCAAGGTCTTTTACCCAGGATGGGAAAGTCCAAATCTAGAGGGCATAGAGAGGAAAGATTTAAAAGAGACCTAAGGGTCAACTTTTTCACATAGAGGGTGGTGCATGTATGGAATGAGCTGCCAGAGGAAGTGGTGGAGGCTGGTCCAATTACAACATTTAGAAGGCATCTGGATGGGTATATGAATAGGAAGGGTTTAGAGGGATATGGGCCAAATGCTGGCAAATGGGATTAGATTTGTATAGGATATCTGGTCAGCATGGACGAGTTGGACCAAAGGGTTTGTTTCTGTGCTGTGTATCTCTATAACTCGAACTCTATGACTCGACTCATGGTGTGGATCCACCATATTGCCTTTTATTTGAACGTTTAGTAGCAGTCTTATGCACTGTATAATAGTTCTGGTCGAAAAGTTCCTTTAAGCAGCAGCAGCAGTAACCTTGTTTTTCTTTTTCTGTCTTCCCAGATCCCGCCTTTTGTATTTGTCTTTTCTCCAATTGCACCATATCCTCTTCTCCAGCACATATAGTCACCTATCTCGCTGCCTTCCCAGTTCATGTCAGTGAGGGTTTTAATGCCCCTGTACAGCGTGTAGAAGCCGTTTACAAGAATGGTTTCAAGAATGAGGATAGATTGAAGAAGTTGGGACTATTCTCCTTGGAGAGAAGAATGTTGAGAGGAGATCTCAGTGGTTTTCAAAATCATGAGTGGGCTGGGTCAATATAAAAGGGAGAAACTGTTCCAGGTCATAAAAGGGATAAGAGGGTATAGATTTAAAATGATCTGCAAAAGAAGCAAGGGAAATCTGAGAGAACTTTTTCACTCAGCAAGTAGTCGAGTGTGGAGTGCACTGGCTAGAAGGCAGGTCCAATTGAGGCATTCAAGAGGGTGTTTGATCTTTGTTTGGATAATAATAATGGGCAAGGGTTTGGGGAGTCAGCAGGAGATTGGCACTAGGTAATGATACTTATTTAATGAGCAGATGCAGCCTCGAGAGGGTGAATGGCTTCTTGTGCCATAGCTCTTCTGTGACTCCTCCTCTGCCTGGAATTTGTTTCTCTTGAGTTTTTTGTTTGTTAATTCTGCTGCTGGAATTGACCCCTGCTGCAGGATCAGCTTTCTTTGGGTCTGTGGCTGTCACTCTCCTTGTTGATTGTTGGTTGCCAAATCCTGCTAGACCAGCTAAGTACTTTGAAGTTTAGTTGCTGTTGTAATTGCTTGCACAAAATGTTGACATCAAAAGAAGTGACCATAAGCTGAGATTTAGTAAAACCCAACCGCCTTAAAATTTTTTTGAGTGAAAATTGTCATCCTTACTCTGTTTGGAGTTTTTTTTTTGGTTACAGTTGACCAACTTGACTCTTAACTGTCCTCTGAAGTCCTAGAAAGGCACTCTGTACTAAATTAGTACATAGTGGTTCAAGAGGGGGTCCCAGCACCACCCTCTTAATGTAACTACCAATGACCAATAAGGAAACCTTGTAGTGTTACCCAGATCCCAGGATTTTTTTTTAAATCACCAGCTATTGAATAGTTTGTTGAAAGATAAATATTGACCTGGAGATTTGGGGAAAATTTCTGGATATTTTTTTGAAATAGTGCCATGAGATCTTTTATGTCCACCTGAGAGGATAGATAGTCATTTTATGCATCCAAATGTTGGCACCTATTACAGTGCTGCACAGTAGTGTCTCCCTGGATTACGGGGCTCATATCTCTGGCAGGGGCCTTGAACTGTCAAGGTATTAGCCAAGGCTGGCACCTTGTAGAGCTGTTTGGAGCTGCTCCCCATGTATAGTCAATAGAATTGTTTAAAGATTACCATGATAGTATAAATTCCTTCCACTTCCTGTCTCCACCTCTTCTGCATATATGTCTTGGTGTTTTCCCCTTATAGCTTGTGGGCTTTGCCTTGCAACTCAGCCCAATTCTGCCAGGTGAATCGCTTCTCTCTAACCTCATGCCTTGAGAGATGAAACATTGTAAATCTGTGCCTTACCCCATAATGTCTTTTTTCCTAGCTCTTGAAGATCACGGGGATCAAATTCAGAGCTTGACTTGGAAGAAAGATGGGTGCCTCCTTGGTTCATCAAGTAAGGTAATTGTCATGAATCAGAGAGAGACAGGCTGAATTTGTTCAATAATCTCTAATCGATCTAGATAAATATCGTTGCCTTCTATCTAATTGCAGAGTATTTCTAAAGTTGATTTGAGTATTGTCATAAATTTTGAGCCAAAAATCTGTTTCTGAAGGAAATATTGAGGACCTTTTGGATTGGTTCCTTTACCACTTCAGACAGTAATTAATGGCTTCGGTGTATGGAAACAAAGCAATGTTCGAGTGCAATTATCAGGTACATTGAAGGAGTAGTTAGAATAGAATCCTTAGAGTGTGGAAACAGGCCATTTGGCCTAACAAGTCCACGCCAACACTCCGAAGAAAATCCGATCAGTCCCATCCCTACATGCCCCCCATGGCCAATGCACCTAACTTACACATCCTTGAACCAACTCTTGATGGCATTCCATGAAATCATTAATTACAGTTAGATAAATAGAGTGTAGAGCCATTCTTCCTAAGTGCCTACATTTTTGTTGCTGAGGTCATGGATGTTCTGTAAGTTCTGTGGGGATACAACTGTACCCAGTCTTCCTAATTACGTGTACCTGAATGCTAACTTGTTGTGATTCATGTCAGAGGACATCTGGAACATTCTGTATTGCAACATTCTGCAGTCTCTCCATCGAAGTATTTAGCTTTTCTATTCTTATCAGTGGACAACTTCACGTTTTCCCACTTTATGCAGCAGCCAGATTTTTGCCCACTCACTTACCCTATCTATATCTCTTTGCACCTCTTTGAAACTTCCTCACAACTTGCTTTCCAACCTATTTTTGTATCCTTGGCAGATTTAGTTACAGTACCAGTCCCAGCATTGGGAGGTGATGTCCCAGTGGCACTGTTGTTAGACTATTAATCCAGAGACCCTGGTAAAGTTCTTGGGACCTGGGTTTGAATCCAGCCATGGTAGATGGTGGAATTTGAATTCCATAACTATCTGGAATTTGAGTCTAATGGTGACCAAAGAACCATTGTTGATTGTCAAGAAAAAAAACTTATCTGGTTCACTAATGCCTTTTAGGGAAGGAAACTTACCATCATTACCTGATCTGGCCTACACATAACTCTGGATCCACAGCAATGTCGTTGCTTAATTCCCCTCAGGACAATTCGGGATGGGTAACAAATGCTGGCCTAGCCAGCGACACCCACATGTCATGAATGAATTAAAGAAAAATGTGATCCTTGGAGTACCTTGCTATTTATAGTCAGTAGCTCAAATGGCTCATTTTATCCCAGAATGTTTTTGTTAGTTAGCCAGTTCTCTCCCCATGCAATGGTATTACCCCAAGACAATGAGCTCTTGTCTTGTGCATGAGCCTCTTATGTGGTATCTTTATTCAACGTATTTGGAAATTCAAATATACTATTTCTGTTGACTTTCTTTATCCACTCTGCTTATTAAATCCTCAACTTTTAATGAATTTGTCTTGATTTTCCTTTCATAAAGCCATGTAGAGTCTGCTTAGTTATATTTTCATTTTCTAACTAGCCTGCTAAATACAACATCCTTAATAATGGATTTCAGTATTTTCTCAGTAACAGAGAGCAGGCTAAAGGTCCCATAATTTTCTATTTTCTGTTTTCTCTTTTCCCTCCTTCCTTAAATAGTAGTGTTACATTTGGGGTTTTCCAATCTGCTGGGACCTTTTAAGAATCCACTCTGGAATTGGAAGATTGCAGCCAGTGCATCAACTATCCTGCAGTGTCTTTTTGACTGTCTACGGCCATCATGTATGAAACTTAGTCCTATTAGTAGTTTTAGTGCATTTTTTTTTTCTCCAGTGTTCCTCACTCCGTTTTGCCCTGTGATTCTTAAAGTATGATCCGTCACTTGTCGGTGAGGGAGGAAGAAACTGGGAGATGGGTTTAAGATGATATTTCGCAGGAAAGAAAAGATGCCAGGCATTGTGTGTCACATCTTCCCAAATAGAGCATGACTTGTGTATTCGCAGCATTTTCTTTTCTTCATTTATGTCTGTAAAAGTTGAAGGAATTTTTTTATTTGTTTACTCTTGGTGTTGCTGTTTTAAAAGAATTGTCATTTTACCGTTAGCTGCTCAAAATTGGCTTTTGTCAAACCTAGCCACTAGATGGCATATGTTCTCCATCTCTGGGAACAATGACCCCTCCAACATATGCTCTCTGCCTCCCTTCACTCTCTCTCACGCAAACAGGCCCGCAAGCGCGCACACAAACACCCTCAATATTTGTAGTTTCATTAATGTTGCCTGGCCTTTGGGTACTGTGTGAAGATCTGAGTACAGTACTCTCTGTATGGCACTGAGAATGATGCAATACCCTCAACATTCCCTACAAATACCGGGAGTTTACTGTGTGGCGATAAATGTTTTTAGTTTTTTTTCTAAACACTGTGCTCTAAATGTGGACAATTCCATTTTCCTTTCTTGTAATGATTTTTTTCATCTTTTAGGACAAGAAGCTACGAATTTTCGACCCGAGAGTGACGTGCTCAGCCGTGCAGGTAATCTTTGCTTCTTTTACCCTTGCGCTTTGATGTTGGTCATGTGTGTACAAGTGGGATATTAACGACAGGAATTAAGACTGGGACATTTCAGAACTTTGTAATACCAGCACCCTTGAATAGCATGTAATGGATATTGACCCTTTGGAGCCATGAGATGTGAACTTTATCCATCTAATAGAAATCAGCCAGATAATCCAAACTGGATGTGAACAAACAGAAAACTTTTGGGCAAGTAATGTTACTCACTGGCTGTGTACAGCTATTATTGTGGCAGCAGTCTGCAGCAGCTTAAGGTTTGGCTTCAGTTACCCTCAGTAGTTCGCTTGACATTCTCCAAAGAGCTCTTTATTTTCTTATCACCAACTGCAGCTTCCTCAATGGTTAACTTTCTAGTCAAGTGAGCTTACTGTAGCCTAATCTTGCAAGCCTTCATTCCCTCCTCTCACTATTATTATCCCCTTAGACTTACTGTCCTGCTCCACGGTTTCCTTTAGAATCTCTATCCACCCCGTGGGCAAGACTTTGACTTTCCAAGCCTTATTATGGATGACTGTAGTGACATCCTACTGAATCTGCATCCTGGCCTTTTCGTGGTCCAATAGGTTCTCTCTTTAACACAGTCACACCATGACCCTCTCTCCTCATCTCTGGACCTTCACCTTGTAATAATTCCCCTTCCAACCTGTTTTATCCCTTTTAAGTTCTTTCTCCCTGTTGCCCTATTCTAAATATCTCACTGATGTCAAATCCCGCTCTCTCTTCCCAGTATCTACACTGAGTAATTTCCCACCCTCTGATTTCAAAGTATATCTCAGTTTCTTTTGCCTTTCCCCTGCATCAGATTCATCCTTTCAGATTCTGAATCTCTCCCTACATATGTACTTTCCCACTGATATTTAGGACCAATCAATGGGCAACGTGTTCTTCAATCGGTCCCAGGCAAATTTCCGATCGTCACCCAGAAACAAAGTCCTATTTCCGTGTTACGTGGCAATGACATTGTGCTGAAGGCAATAAACTGAGAGCAGATCTCTGAGCTCAAAGCTGTGCATATAAGGCACCGTGGGCCATAAGCAGCAGCAGAATTGTCTTCAAGCAGAATCTGTAGCCTCCTGATGTGCATATCCTTCGTTCTACCATGCAATCAAGCTATGCGATCAACTCTGGTTTAGTAAGCAGTGCAGGAGAGTGTGACAGAAGCAGCACCATATCTAAAAATGCGATGCCTATTTGTGGTGCAAAAACACATGCATGTAAAACAGTGAGAACAACATATGATAGTCAGAGATGAACTATCCCACAACCAATGGATCAGATTAAATCAGTCCTGCAGAATACATGAATGCTGATGAATATTTTAAATCGTTAACCAAGGTAGGATGCATCACAAACACTCTCATCCTCAATGACACGGGAGCCATGCTCGTCAATGCAAAAGACGTGATCCTTAAGCATTTGTAACCCTATTCAGCCAGAAGTCCTGTGTGAATGATTCATCTCTGTCTACTGTTGTGGTCTGCATTATTTTGTGCCAGTCTTCAGCCAATTTTCTTAATTCCACATATCAAGAAATGTCTGAATGCACTGCATATGGCGAAGGCCCTTACAATATTCCAACTGTAGTGGTGAAAGCTTGTGCTTTAAACTTAGGCTGAGTGTATTGTGGATAGCATGTATAGACGGGTGATCACTTTTGTGGAATAAGTCTCAAAGGCAGGGAGGGAATGGATGACCACCAGGCAGTACATTCCCCTGCACAACATATACTGCTTTGAATATTGTTATAGTGAAAAGCCTCTCAGGAAAGTAGCAACAGCCAAATTTGTTGCACCATGTTTGACTCTGCTGTATAGGTGAAGTGGAATAAGTGTGGGAAAGCCATCATGATAGGGGTTTTGATCACAAGAATAGAGAGTTGTATTTGTGACCGCATACAAGACTCCAAGGAAATATGGTGCCTCCTGGGTGCCAAGGTCTCGGAGGGGCTACAGGACATTCTGGATTGGCAAGGGGCGTAGCTGGTAATTTTGATACCCAGCAGTATCAGCGACATAGGACCTCATCCCTTTTATTAAAGCCTAAAAGCAGAATATAGGGACTAAGGAAGCAAGTTTAAAAATGTAGAACCTCAAAGGTAGTAATCTCAGGATTGTTGCCAGTGCCACATGTTAGTCAGTCCACAAATAGCAGGGTATATTAGATGACTGGTTGGCTGGAGAAATTGTGCAAAGTGGAGGTTTTCACATTTCTGGGACAATGGCACCGATTCTGGGGGAGACGGGACCAGTTCCATCCAGATGAGTTGCACACGGGAAAGACTGGAACTTGTCTTGGGGAGTATTTGCTAGTGTGGTTGGGAAGGGTGAAAACTAAAATGGCAGAAAATGTGGAAACCTATACAGGGACACACACAGAAGAGAGGGAAACAAGGGCAAAATTAAAAGGCAGAATAGGAAATAAGAAAAATGATAGACAGAGAATTTGCGGGGAAAAAGTCATACGGGGCCACAACGCAAAATAATGAGAATGGAACTAAAAAGGTTTTAAAGAAAAAAAATGAACATTAAGGCCTTGTATCTTAACGTGCAGAGCATTCGCAATAATGTTGATGAATTAGTCATGTAAGTAGTTATAAATGTATATGATATAGTTGGGATTATGGGGATAAGGCTGCAGGATGACCAGGCATGGGCACTGAATATCCCAGAGTATTTAGTTTTGAGGAAGGACAGAGGAAAAAGAGGTGGGGTAGCATTTCTGGTTAAAGAGGATACTAACACAATAGTTGGAAAGATATTAACTGTGTTGAAGTAGACTCTGTATGGGTACAGCTTAGAAACAACAAGGGGCAGAAAACAATCGTGACGGTTATATGTAGACCCCCAACTGTAGTGGTAACATTGGGGAAGGCATTAAGCAGGAAATTGGAGATACAAGTGATAAAGTTACGGCTGTAATTATGGATGACTTTAATCTTCACATAGGTTGGGCAAATCAAATCACTAACAATGCTGTAGAAGGGAAATTCTTGGAGTGTGTACCAGATTGTTCTTCAATGTATTGATCCAGAAAACAACCTAAAGAACAGGCTGTCTGGGTATTTTGTCATGAGAAAGGAATAATTAACAATCTGGTTGTGCAAGGCCCGTGGAAAAATGTGGCCGTAAAATGTTTGAATTCTTCATTTAGATGAAGAATGATATAGTTGATTCAGGATCCTAGTCTCAGAATCTAAGGAAAGAAAACTACAATGGTATGAAGAGAGAACTGGCTATGATAAGTTGGGAAGCATTACTTAAAGGAATGACAGTGGATACACAATGGGAAATATTTAAAGAGTGCATGGAGGAACTGCAACAATTGTTCATTCTTGACTGGCACAAAAATAAAATAAAATGAGAAAAGTGGCCCAACCATGACTAATAAGAGGAATTTGGAATAGTAAGGGATGCAAGGAAGGAGTATACAAATTGGCTGAATAAAACAGCAGAGGTGAGAATTGACAGCAGTTTAGATTTTAGCAGAGGAGGACAAAGGAATTGATTTAAAGGGAAAATAGAGTATGAGAGTAAGCTTACGTGGAACATACAAACTTATTTCAAAAGCTTCTATAAGCATGTGAAAAGAAAAAGATTAGTTAAGACAAAGGTAGCTCCCTTACAGTTAGAAATATGGGAAACAGATTTGGCAGACAAGTTAAACACTAATTTTGGTTCTTGTTTCACAAAGGAGTGAAAGAGTTGATCATTTGCTGCTCCTTTTTTGTCTCCCTGCTAACCAATGATAAAGGCTGGAAATGAGAAAAGACTAACACAAAACCGGGTGCATGCTAACTTTCTTCATCTACACAATAAACATAGATCTGACTTCAAGAGGTGTGGTAGAAGTGACTGCTTTTGACATCCATGTAATATTTGACCAAGTATGGCATTAATTAACTATGGCTCCTTGGAATTAATATCAATTGGGGAAATTCCCCTTGTTGAACTCATACCTGGCACAAAAATAAATGGTTGTGCTTGTTGGAGGTCATTCATCTGAGTCCTACGACATTTCTGAAGAAGTTCCTTGGCATAGTGTCTTAGGTCTGATCATTCTCAGCAATTTTCATTAATAATCTTTCCTCCACACAGAAGTGGGTATGTTTGATGATTAGTATTCAGTATTATACATGATTGAACAGATTACTGAAGTAGTCAGTGCCACGTGCAGCAAGGCATGGACAATATTCAGTTTAGCACTTAGGTCATGTAGCATTCATGCCACTTAAGTACCAGGCAATGACCACCTCCAACAACAGGAAATCAAAATACTACCTTGACATTTAACACACTACCATTTCAAATTACCTATCATCTTCATCTTGGAGAAGTTATTACACATGTGTAAAAACTACAGAAGCAGTTACAGTTTGGAAATTCTATTTTACAATACAATACAATATGGCATAGGGACAGGCTCTTTGGCCCAACAAGCCTGCACTGATTCTTAATCCTTAGTGATTCTTCTGAGTACATTGATGAATTCTTCTGATTTCCAAAGTCTATATGCAGTCTCCAAGGCACAAACCAGGAGTTTGATAGAATATTTTCAGTTGCCCTAAATAAATACAGCTCCAAAAATACTCCAGCTAAACCCCATCCGAAGACAAAGCAACCTGCTTGATTTGGCACCTCACCTACCACCTTAACATTCACTCCCTTCGCCACCACCAGGCAGTGGCAGCACTGAGCACCATCTGCAAGATGCGCTGTATGAACTCACTAAGGTTTCTTGATTGTTGAACACCTACTACACCTGCAATCTCTACTTCCTAGGAGAGCAAGGACAGCCTATGAATGTTGACTGCAGTTTCTCCTCGTGATCATGTATTATCTTTACTTGGAAAGATCATGCTGCTCCATAACTATTATTGATTCCAAATCCTGGAACTCTCTCCCTACCAGCACTGTGGGTGTCCTTACAACAGATAGACTGCATTTGTTCAAGAAGTTGAC